AGACATGTATGGACAAACCACAGCAAATCATCCATTGTCTGTGTGCTGCATACAATTATCTTTCTGGCTGTGCGCAGCTCCCTGCAGGCTGTGTTTTCTGCTGTTGTATCCCTGAGGAGCACTTTGACTTTCGGACATTGACTTAGGATTGTTTTGTCAGGGTTAAGGTAAAAACCCTTTAAAATTAAATAGCTGAGCTTCTCAAAGCTTCAAAAATGCTTTTCACAGCATTCAGCAGCATTAAAATCCCTGTCGAGAGACAGGCGGCGTTAGGCCTTCTATCTCAAGCTGCCTTTGTTAACTTCTCGTGGCAATTTGTGATGAAGTCACGACTTCTAATCTGTTGATTGGTCTCAGTGAATGTAAATTTTCTTCATTTCGACAACATATTTACATTTTTCATGTCCACAAATACAAATTTGTGTTGTGCTTTTCCTTCAGCTAAAGCCCTAACTGTAACTGTGTGGACACTGGCTTCTGCATGACCACTGGTTTCAGCATCAGGACTGCCATAACAAAAGATCATATATACTATTGTCTGTCCATACAGATATCTTAGGTAATAAAAAAGAATATGATTTGCGCCACATATTGTTTAGAACATGGTACAATAGCATTATAATTTTGGAGAGGTATCCACAGAAGAGCTTCATCCATCTGGGTCAAAAGTCTCCTGGATAGATCGTGGGAAAGGTGTTCCACGTCCAACCAAGCGAAGTCCCTAAAGGTAGACAAATGCTGCCAAGATCACATCTCCTAGCTAACTTTCTGGAGAAGGGGCATCTTGGTATTCCCCAGGAAGAACAGGCTGGACAGAGAAACCACCTCCCAGAATTTGTTAAGCAGTAGATAATGCATTAAAGGATGGATTCAGAGGGTTCTGGATAGTCGAGGCCTCACCTAGAATGCAAGTCAGTCTAGTTCCAAATTACACAAAGTCAGACTGTGGACAGTCCTGTTTTATTACATGGGTCTGAGGTATGTGCAGGTATTTGCATTTTTGGATAATCCTTTATTGATACCAACATTGTATTTGACTTTTTTTTGTAGGCCCACTTCATCATTTGTATTTTGATTCTTTATTTGTTTTCTCTGTGGACAACAGTAGACCTTCACAGGCCTTCCAGGACACATCTCTCTTAATCATATCACAGTGTAGAAAGAAAGCAGAACAATCTGAGAACAAGAGCTGAGAAAAAGTGTGTCTCAGCTGTCCAAAAGGTCTACTGTTATTAGTTTGAGTCAGTGTTTTGTCAGAAAAACATGCCAGCCTTGATGAAAGGGACTGATACGCTTGGAGGCATATGATTCAGATGAACTGGACACAGGTCTCACCTGGAACTCGATTCCCGTCATTATTTGTAATAGACTACTGGTGAATGTGGAACTGCCAGGCAGGAGGAAAAAGTAAAGGCCACAGAAAAGATTCATGGATGTAGTGAAGGAGGACACGCAGAGGGTTGGTGTAAGGAAGTGAGATGGAGGCTGATGAACCCTGAAATGAAAAAGAAAAAGAAGAGCACTATTTTTCTTCTACCCTGTTACCATTTGGAATTTATATCAGAGAAAATATATCAGAGAATTAGTTGGACGTGTAATGCATTGCAAGGTTCTGACTAATGCTTGTTGGTGACTTAAACATTAGTTTTTCTATCGAGGCTTTAGAATTTGACCACAGTTGCTTTGTGGTTTACTCCAGTTACCTGTATTTTTAGATCCACAGCTAGCTGAGGCTGGACTAGGTTGCTTCATGTTACTGCATGAGGGACAGAATCAATCTTGTGGATTTGAATCCTGATTGCAGAACTCTTGCGCAGTTTCCATACAAATATTTTTTTTATTTAGCTTTAATTCTCCTCCGTGGATTCCCTGCGAGTCACGCATGGTCGCAAGCTCAGACAGAATTGCAGTGATTGCCAATTCTGGTGTTCTATGGAAACACCAATCACATTCTTAAGTGCCAATCATTGAGACCAGGATCCACTAAAGGTTTTGTAGTGCTCTGCCGGTGCTAATCCTGTTCTGCCTTGCACAAAAGAGCAGATACCAGTCCTGCTGATGGGTTAAGGACCGTCTATGGTCCTGTCCAGCTCTCCTAAAATAACTGTCTGTCTCCTAGAATTTTGTCCATGTTCATGAGACTGCTGAGAGACACTGCAAACCTTCTGGCAATGGCACATCTGGATGTGCCATCCTGGAGGAGTTGGATTACCTGTGCAATCTCTGTAGGGTCCGCAGATTGCTGATCTCTACCCTATTCAAATGCAAAACTAGTAAAAAAAACAGAAAAGATGAGGAGGCAGAGAATGCCAGTGGCCTCCACCTGTAAAACAATTCGCATTGTGGGTGTTGTCTCAATCTTGCCCGTCTACTGCACCTCTTGTTAATTTCGTTAACATCAAAGCAGCTGAAGCTAATTAGCGGCCCAGGTCAATATCCCAGAAGTTTAGGTGACTTGATGCTATACTCTGATTAAAAAGTTTTCCTTTAATTATAGGCCTGCTGTGGTTGCTTCAAAAAGGTCAAATTATATCAGATTTTTTTTAAAAAACAACTTAAAAACTGAAAATGTAGCTATCAAAATGTCTTTTTTCCTCTGTTTTTTGCAAGAATTAGTGAATTCTGAATTAGTGGCATGCTTTTGTGTGTCAGTAAAAAGGAGTGATTGCCAGCTGTGAAAGCAGTTCTAATACAGGCTTTTTAAGAGGCTCTTAACTGTAAGAAAAAGACTTTTTTATGAGCTGCAATCATCTTTTGATCTTTAAATATTGATCACTGAACACTTATGAGAATGATAGTCTTTTTTCTGGACATCAAAACTGCCTGCAGTGCTTCATACTGAAACCAATTACTTGTGCGGTTAGGATAGGGAGTTGAAACAAAAAAGGTGTATGAAGTTAATATTTAAAAAGGTTTGAAGTAGTATCAAAAAATCCAAATGAGAATTTAGTTCTGT